TTTTTAAGGATGGCATTTATACAAAGGGGAAAGGGTTGTAGTAAATTGGAATTATGCAGGAGGGTGCTTCTGTAGAGAGAACAGGATTACTTTTTATTGCACTGTGTATTATATGGAGTGTCTTGTTTCTCATGCACTGTCTTCTATTTTTGGTGTTTTTTGCATTGTCTTGTTTTTCATGCATTGTCTTCTATTTTTGGTGTTTTTTGCATTGTGTATGGTATTATACTTTTTATTGCATTGACCGCTAATTTTGTTATCCACCTTGACACTCAGTGAGAAAGGTAGACTGTAAGTAAATAAATGAAACTTCACTTGCTGTCCTGTTTTTCAGTATTAAAGACAATGCTGACTCTAGCCTGATCCTGTATGTGGATTTTACACCTGATTTATTCTTGCCAAAGAGTCCTCTTCCACGCAGTGGGTTTTGTCTGCAGAACATTATTTAATATTTTGGCGGGTTTTTTACTTGCTCCTACAGGGCAAAAACAGAAGGAGGAGAATTTTAGAAATAATTTAAACGAGCTGGGAAATGCTGTATGGCAGGGTTCGCTGCAACTTCCACTGTTGCACACATGGGATTAGAATTTATTAAGGAAAATTTCACTTCCAAATAAACTAATTGCATGCTTTGATGTGCTGGAGGGTACCTTGGTAGAAAGGCTGTCTGAGGAAAAATGAACACAGTTGGATTGTCTCAGCTCATACAGAAAAACGTTGTTTCAGGCTTGGCTTTATAACCAGCTTCTACCTTTTTAGCCACAGCCAAAGAGAGGGTTTGGGGAACAATGTGTTGTAAATTCTTCAGCCAATTAGCTTAGTGAGTTACTCCTGTTTATAATGCATGGAGCGCAGAAGTCTGCTTTGCAGTTGCACCGCTGCTGGATTGTTAATAGCAGGAAGCCAGCACTGCTTAGCCCAGCGCATCAGCGACACGTGAAACTAAATGTAAAAAACCTGGAGGGGAAAGCGGCAGACTGAGATTAGTCTTTATTTAATTTAACATTTGGGGGTCCAACACACAAATGAGCATTTTAGTAGGCTTCATGGTGGAAGTTGCTGTCATTTGTAAAATATTCTGGCCAATTAGCTAATAGTGTGCTTGGATTTCTCCCGTTTTGATACAGTAATACTAAGTACATTGTGAAGCCCAATTATACAAATCATCCCCATATGCCCGTACCAGTCTTGCTTTATGAACTGTGTTTATAAATCCTGTGTGAGGAAATGTGTACTTCAGCAATTTAGGCCATGTGTAAAAACATAGCCAATAGGATTGTCAGGAAAACAAGCTCCAGTGTAGGAAATCCTAATGTGTTCCGCTAGAATAACAGGAGTGTGTCGTGTCGTGCAAGCATTCTGATTGAATGCATATTACCTTATAGTCTTTAACCAATTGAGATACTCCTGTTCCCTTTTTAGTTTCTTTCTTTTCTCCTTTCAGTCTCAGTCTTGTTTGTTTATTTCTCTAGGATCCAGCCTTGGAGTTTCTGAGAAAATTTGGGATCGGGCTAGTCTCAGGAACAATAGCTTCAATTATTAACATCCCATTTGATGTTGCAAAAAGTAGGATTCAGGGACCACAGCCGGTTCCTGGAGAGATCAAGTACAGAACCTGTTTTAAAACTATGGCAACGATCTATAAAGAAGAAGGGTAAAGCATTCTTATTTTAATCATAAATATACAGACCTCTGGTATGTTCATAGGAGTCCCTAAAAGCACACTGATATATTTCAGATTTGATGAGGCCCATAAAAACAACCCTGCATAGTGCTTACAAATCAGGAATGCTCAGGAGTTCTGCATTTCAGAAATGTGCATAGAACAATTCCATCATCTACATTTTGTGGATTTTCATCTGCAAAATTATTGTCACATTGCTCTAAAACAATACCCAAAGACGATCATTATTGGATACATTGGATGCATGCAGTACAAGACAACCCAGCTCCCTATTGGAATCCCACAAAGTGACCAGAGAACAGCACAATGAAAATAAAGCTGTTGTGACTGATTCTAAAAATGCCCACCTGAACATATTTTAATTGGCCCAATGCCGGCCTAGGAATATTTTTCAGTATTTGAAATCATAGCAGCCTGAATAGCCCAGCTTAGACCAAGCTTGTCAGAGCTGGGAAGCTAAGAATTGTTGGCCACAGTTAGTACTTGGATGGGAGACCACCAAGGAAGACTCCTCTTGCTATGCAGAGGAGGGCAATGGCAAACCACCTCTGCTCCTCTCTTGCCTTGAAAACCCCATAGTCCTGAATTAATTTTACGAAATCACGCTCAAAAGGAGTGGTCAACTTTGACAGATCGAAAAGCATTCTTAATTGTCCACATTTCTAGCTTGGTTTGTAAAAAGTGCATTAATACAGAAATCAATAGCATTTGGTTTAGCATTTTACTCTCTTTTTCTGTGCTTTTAGAATATTTTGGTAGGCTAAGTATGAGAATATGAACATTTTCGATAGACCAATAGATATGCAGTATTTCTGTCTACATCCATTGATTTCTGTGGGGTTAGACTGCGTAGGATTTCATACTGTCATTTGGGTACATTTATACCAAACCACAGGATACTGTTTCTCATATGTATAACTAGTATGAAAGCAAGATTCAAGCCCAGTAGCACCTTATAGATCAGCAAGATTTACAGGGTATAAGGTTTTGAGAGTCAACACTCCCTTCATCCGATGTGGAAGCAGCATCCTAGAATTTTCATTTGTAATTACTTCTTGTGTGTGTTTAACAATAACAGCCTTATTTAAGAATAGCTGTGGCTAAATATGTGTAGCCCAGCTGCTATGATCAAGGTGTCTCATTAATTCAAATCACGTCTTGACTAGAAGAGATCACAGTTTAGCTATTGCAGTTGAACATTAATCAACCGCATACACTGGTCTAGAATTAAGATATTTTGTATTGCCAAAATATATATTACTTCACATAACTGTTTTTGCACGTTGTCCAAATGATTTAATACACATAAACCAATAAGTAAAAATATTCTCCATCATCTTTTTTCCCACAGATTTCTAGCTTTGTACAAAGGACTGGTCCCTAAGATTATGAGACTAGGCCCAGGTAATTTTACTCAATCATTGTTTTGATATCTGTTACCATGTCTTAAGACCCATAATACACAAACAACGACAACAAACTGAATACTGAAATCAACCTCTTGTTGAAAAGGTTTCTCTTGCTGCTTTATTGCCTTTCTATTCTAGACCTTCGTGCTCCTTTCACAGCTCAAATTGTAACATAGATATAGAGTGGACACACACATGGTTGGATAGTGTGTTACTGTAATCGTTCACCTTGTGGATTTTCGTATCCACACAGGAAAATCACAGGAGGTGAATAATTGAGATAATAGCCACCAATATTTGGGTCCAGCTGTGGAGGCAGAAACCGAACAGGAGACAGCTGCAGGAAGAAGTCAGGGTCTGGTGGCCCTGTCCTCCTTGTCAGGAACAGGATCAGGATTTCATTCCAACCACAGTAGCCATATTGTTTTTCTGTTATGTATGTTACTCCAATTCTTGTGTATGGCATCTACATTTTATACTCCAGATATACATCAGTTTAGTCCTGTATAGTCAAAACATGTGGAGGGGTAGACCGAAATAATGCCTGCTGGTCCACCCCTGACCTCCACACACTGAGCTGTAGTCCATGAAAATATCTCTTGGAGTAAGATATTGTTAGTCTTTAAAGTGCCACTAGATTCCTGTTTACTTTGGCTGCAACAGGCTAACATTGCTGCCCTTCTGGAATTATGTCTGAAACTTTTGCACAACAGCATGCTCACATATATTGTGGAAGCATAATCTCTAGCTGGCAAAAACTAATAGTCAGATTCATGTGTTGAAAGCTTGTGTAGATTTGAGGCATATCCAGGTAGAATAGATTTTGATCAATGCATGGAAGTTTGCCAGTAGGTGTAGTCCCATTTTCCTTCTCCACATGTTCCGTTCTGTACTCTTTTACCATCTGTACAGGGCTAAAATGGCAATTCACTTTTTTGTGTTTGGTAAAGCAGGCTGATGCCTACAGAGCTGGTGCCATAGCTGGTATATCTTTGTAATCTTTCTTCAGAATATTTTCCTCTTACCTAGCCTCTATTTAGCCTCTAAATATTTTTCTCCTCACCCAAGCTTCATTACCTGGTGCTGTGTGAATAACCACAGATAACTTTCAGATCATGTAAATTCCTAACTTTTTAAACCAAGTCACTTCATACACATTCAGCTGCAAGACAGAAAGGGATGATTTGGTTCATACACTCACCTGATTTGTGGATTATCTTGGTGTATTGAGGACATAGTTTGCAACACTCCCTAAATGGTGCTTTGCATGTAGGGCCATACATATCTAAGCCCATTTTAGAAGAAAGGGGAGAAGAGATTGCATGAATCAGACCATATGCACACATACAGTGTCCCTACATCAGATGAAACTGTACGTGGTAGAAGGCAGGTTCATTCACCACACCCTCGCCCTGTGACAAGCAGGAGACCTACAGACCAGATATATAAAGAAACTTTATATATTTGTATATTTTTACATCAGATTCTAACTTCCTGTGGTCAAATGCCATGTATGCAGAATACATTCCTAAAGGGGCTAATTGTTTTATTTCACAAAGTAGTATTTTCTTTTCTAGGTGGTGCAGTGATGCTTCTGGTTTATGAGTACGCTTATGGATGGTTTCAAGAACACTGGTGATCAGAAGTGTAATTCCTAAAGCAACATTCTGTTTAAAGCAGTTACTGATTTTAAACTACCGTATTTTTCGGACCATAAGACGCACTTTTTCTTCGAAAAAAAGTGGGAGGAAAAGTGAGTGCGTCTTATGGACCGAAGGCGGCACTGCCCCCCCCCCGCCGCCGCGTCTGGGAGAGCGCTGAGGCTTCTTAGCCTCCAACTCACAACTGTAATGCCAGCAGCTCAGGAAGGCAGGCTCCAGAGGAAAGTGATTGATGCAGCAGACAAATCGCTCCCTGCTCTCCCGGGCTGGTTTTCCCGCGCTGCTGGCATCCATCCTGTCGCAGCTGCACCTCCCCCCTCCCCTCCCC